TTAATATTACATTTGGGTGTCTTTTTAAGGATTCTATATCTAATCTAAACTTGTCTTTCTTCCTTTCAAATGTCTTCAAACAAGGTTGCTTCAGGCTAAAACTCTACCTACTCCTTTTCTCTCATGAAGCTTTGTGGGAGACTCATCTTCGATGGTTCCAACTTTATGGATTACATCTGGAACATCAAGATGGTTACTCATTACAAGGACAAGGAATATGTACTCAACAAGGAGCTTAAGGAACTTGATGAGTCGTCTGCTACTCCCGAGGAGATCATTGAATTTTGGACACATGAGAGAGATGCCACTAAAGTGGCATGTATCATGTTGGCAACGATGACAGTTGAGCTCCAAAAGGCCTATGAGGACTTTTATCCTTTTGAGATGCACCAGTATCCGATGGACCGGTACCATCAAAGTGCTCGTCAAGAGCGATATGAAATCATCCCCTCTATGATAACAATCACTACTAGAAAAACATCCTTTTATGATGCTCATTGCACGTTGTAAAAGGCTCAGACGACGCGCAAACGCGCATCAAGGAAGGCCCTATCATAAAGAGAGACGACGCGCTTTTGCGCGTCTTCTATAGACGACGCACATTTACGATGCTCATTTACGACGCGCATTTACGACACGCAATGCGTATCAAGGAAGGCCCTGTCATAAAGGAAGACGACACGCATTCGCGTGTCGGAACCTTACGACGCGCGTCTTGATGACATGCAATGCGTATCAAGAAAGCCCCTGTCAAGAAAGGCCATGTCGTAAATGAAGATGACACACATTTTTGTGTATCATAATTTTAAATGTTTAAAAAAAATTATTTATAGATTTACTAATTTTCAAATTAAATTTGTATTTAATGTCTCATAATAGAAAATAAATATCATATACAAAAAATACAATCCATTGCATAAAATTTAATGTCATACAAATAAAATACCATAAATAAGAGGTTTTCCCTAACTATATAACCTAATGCTACAATGCTATAAAGGGGCACCTTCTTGTTTCAGTAACTCATCATTAAGTGATCTAAAGAAGCTCTTAAACCCTTTCATGTATCCAACCAATCATCATGTCTCTTAGCTTCAATATCAATCCTAACTCTTGATAAAAAACAACACGAAAATCCTACACAATAAACATATATGTCAGTTGTACAATATCAATATCAAATAATTAATAATACACATGGTATGTACAAGAGTGGAATCAAAATGATCTACCAATAAGCCATGTTTCCTTTAAAGGTATCTTTAGCAACTGCAAGTTTCTAGTGATCAACAATATACAAAATGTCAAGGAAGTATGATTGATTCTAAGACAACTTTGTAGTAATTATATTTGTACTTGAAACACCAAGCAAGGAAATTAGGAAACAACATAGCTAAGAAGCTTTACCAGTTCAACTTGACTAGTGATGCGATTCTCAAACTCTTCCATGACCTTACTTAGCACAGATTCTACAAGCTGCATAAGCAGAATAGTATCATAGCAAGCATGAGAAATCAGTTGTTGTGGTGACATAAACTTGCAAAACACCAAATTACACTTACCATGGGAACCTCATCAGGTTTCTTATCCAATAGAACTGCATGGACAAGTATGTTTAATGAGAACAACGTTTTTGTGATGATTTTTCAACACATACATTTTGTGATGATTTTAATATTTTAATAAATAGAAAATCACACAAATTAACATTTTAATAAATAGTTCCTGTAAAGAGACCACACAGATTAACATTTTAATAAATAAAAAATCACATCTAAAATACTTGGACTTTCTTTTTCATTGCTTACTAGTTGAATGAAAAGTATTTCTATTTACACGAGCAACAAAACAAAAGTAACATTCTATAAACAAATACTTGAATAGACAATCTCGTGCTACTTTTCAATAGACGATCTCGCCTGCTGACGTGGCATCCACATAATAGTCAGAGAGAGGAGAGAGGGAGAAATACCTGATCATGGGCATTATAGCAACAACAATTTACATACCGATAGTGTCCTTGAAGTGTCATACTACCCTTCCCTGACCAAACATCAAATGCTTATAACAACATCCAGATAGAAAACATATTTACAAATGAAAAAATATACTCAAATTAAATACTCTTCAAGAAACTTAAGGTTGCGTTTGTTACATGGGAAGCTTTATAATTATAGGGATATTTCTGATGACAACACTAAGGTGGGCATTTACATGTCAATGCTATTCTTGCATTTAACCAATTTTGAAAAGAAAAAACTCTTCTATCTATGGCTTTGAGGCCCATAACAACAAAAAAAAAAGATTTCAGATGAAAGTGTTGGCAAAACAACATTCATATCAATGTACTCTGATAACATCATCAATAGGATTAACCCACTAAAGAAACACACAACAACAAAAAAAAATATATCAATTATTATAATTATATTCTACACCAAATTCATAAATAAATTAGCATTCTTGAAAAACATTAATTTACATGATTACTAACCAGTTTACCATGTGATACCCAACACCTCTAAATAAGATCAAATGAGTACCAGATTTTCCATGTTCATTCTTTGCTTTAACATTATTAACCTAAAACACAGAAATTAAACCATTCTTCAAATAAATAAAAAGTTATAATCAACTTCATTCTATTAATAAATTCCAGCTGTCCAGTGGTATCCATAATTCCATCAACAGCATGTTCATTGTAGCTTTTATCATCGGAATCACCAACTCCTAAAGATTCCAAGCTAAAAAGGGATTCCACAATTCCCTGGAATTTATTTGGCACATCTACTTCAACCCATGTTTCTTGATCAAGCACTGCTTTCAGTTTTGTCATCTATAATAACAATAATAATATTATTAATCAAACAAATTGTTGTTTACCTTCTCTGTTGCAGTTACAAATTCTTGTGAAACATTATATATTTGTAAAAATTCTTGAAGCGTTAGTCTTGGATGCAAAAGAGCACGAACTCCAAGAAGTTTTGCCCATCTTCCGTGAGCTGCATCACAAGCTGCAAACACTGCTTTTGTGTTTTCTCTCAATACATCAACTCTGTTAAATGACACAGTTGCCCCTGTTAGAAAATTTCTAACAAATAAGCAACATATATATATATATATATATATATATATATATATATATATATATATATATATATATATATATATAACAGATCACCTGAATTTTTTTGATAAATCTGATGGACTTGTGGCATCGTTGGATTTTGGTTGGAATGGGGACACCTTGATAGAATTCCTAGGAAAGGATCCAGACTGAGAATCACCCAGAGGGGCATTTTTTGATAAATTTTATGGACTTCTTCAATGTGTGCTTCTTTCCATTATGTTCTCTAAATCTAGCAGCAAAAAGATGAATCTCTGGTTGCTTCTGTAAAAATAAATAAATAAAGAACAGTAACTGTAGCATGCTCCATGTGTTACAGCATCATGCAAAGTCCTCCTTGTCTCTCTACAGACCCCAAACCACCACCCCAATTCAAAACCCTATCCAAGTCATTCCCAGATCCAACAGGTAAAATGGCTACAGGAGGGGGTGAAAAGTAATTTTGCTTCTCAATTGCATCCAATAACCACCCTACTGTCCCATCTCCTCCACATACAAGAATTCTTAAATGAGGCACTCTTCTGAATAGATACAAACCAATTTCTGGCCCTTCTGTTGAACTCAACTCATATACCTACAAAACGTTTCATCAAGATTTTAGAAATTTTGGTCAAAAGATAAATCTAGAATCAATCAGTATGAAGCTATGAACCTGAACATCATTATTCCCATCTAGTGTACTTTCTGTAGATGATTCCCCTATACCTTTATCTTTATCTAAATTCACTTGATTGAAATTCCCTTTATTTTTCTTACTTTGATTTGTGGTACTTGCTAGAACATAAGAAGCAATCTCATTGGCTTCATAAGTAATGGAACTCAAGATTCCACCAGATGATGATCTACCAAGTCCTTTAACATATATCACCTGTTTCAAATCAGTCTTTTAAAAGGACCCATGTCACCTCAGTCCACCTTATAGCCCATTGTTGTAAAACCTGATAAATAAATGCAACAAGACAATAAATGTTGGGGATATTATCCCAAAATCATACAAATGATACATAAAGCAAAAGAAGCTTTAAGGACTCAAACCTGAAGATGTTTAAGGACTCAGACCTAAAGAAGCTTTAAGGACTCATACTCAGCTTTGTTGCCTGGGATCTTTCAAATCAATCACAGAATTCTTAATTCATCTAATTTGAATGGAATGTTATGTATATTATTACTAGTTTACTACTACGTGCCTGGTAGAATCCTACTAAGTTCCACATTAGACTGACGTTCATTCCAACAATGGAGAAGTTGGAAAGCATGACAAACTTCATAAGTTCTGAATTGGGAAGATGTGAGGGTTGGATGTAGCCCAGCCACCTAAGAACAAGGTCCATCAAGGTGGTAGTCATAAAATGCAATTCAGTCAATGTTGTTGTTGCGTACAAAGTATAAAGATGTAATTAGTTATAAAGGAATTTTAATATCTTAACAAACCTGAATAGTTGATTTTGCTAGAAACAGAAACACATCAGATGGAGTAACACATCAGTACCATATATTTGATCCGGATCAATCAAAGTGGTCAAAAGTCATCGATAATAATCCATCTAAAGAGCAAGATCAAATATTTAGAATTTTAATATCTTAACAAACCTAAATAATTGATTTAGCAAAAAGGCATTTTAGACATGTTGCATTGTTTTGAGCTTTTTGGGTATGGAGAGTATGCCCTAATACTTGTTGAAGGAATTGCACATGATTGAGAATGTTTTGTATAGAACGAGCTCTTAAAGCCTATGACTTCACCATTTTCACATAACCTGAAACCAATAAAGATGGTGCTGATAGGATTGAGAATGTGTATCATAAATCAATCCTTTAATCTAGATAAGTTGTTAGAGGCATTTTTACAAACAGGTGGTGTACACCATGAAAAACATGTGGAATTAGTCTATCTAACGTGAATGAGATTAGATTAGAAACAAATGGTTCACTCCCCCCTGAACCCTGACCCATCATACCTTTCTTCACGACGGTCCCCATCCGGTAAAACATCGTCGGTGCTTGCCTGCTTCGTGTCCACCAGAACTGGAGGGTAAAGCCTCATGCTTTCGCAGAGACTAGCATAAGTATAAACCATATCCTTCACTTCATCCTAAATGGACGAATCTGAATTCTCATTGTCTTTGACTTCGTTCACAACTTCACTTCCGATCTTTGGATTCTTGTAAAGTAACCAGAAGAACCACATCAAAGCCGCTGAGGTTGTATCTCTTCCGGTGAGTGTGAAGCTGATTACAATATCCGTCAGATGTTTTTCATCCAAATGACCAGAGTTCAGAAACCGTGAAAAGAAATCAACGGGTTCGGTCGTGAGTGCTTGTTTCTTTTCATTCAATATGTTTGTGGTGAACTGATGGATCTCGGCAACTGCTTATTTAAGTCGTTTCTCGGATCCGATGTTAAAAAACCTTTCGACGTTAAAGATTCCATCTCCAAGCAGATCGAAGGGGTTGACCGGAAAATATAGCCTTTTTAGTATGGTGAGAATTTAGTCTTGAGGATATGTTGAACGTTTGTGTGGTTTCCCGTGAGCACATGGTTTTGAACGAAAGGACGGCTGAGCAAGAAGGTGAAGTAGCAACCGACAAATGCAATTGAAAGGTAGAGGCGCTACACTCCTTTTTTTCATGTCACCAGACATCAACACTGAGAAATCGAGAACCCTGCAGGTTTGATCTGCTCAAAAGACAGGATCAAACATCTGGTGATATTGCGATTTTTTTGTGGGAGAAAAGAGGATTGGTGATGATATTAGGGTTTTTTTTGGTATTAGAGTGAGAGAGATATAGAGAGGGAGAGAGATACAAAAGAACGGTGGAAATTAGGTAGAGGATTACAATGGCGGCCTTTCAAACTTTTGGGATTTTTGTTTCCCCTCGGTTGCAAAAGAAGAGAGCGCGCCTTTCATTATAAAAATATAAAGCGACATTTCTAGACGACACCCATTTTTAAATAAGTTCCCTCCGTGTTTTTTTTGTTGGACATTAATTTCAGGGCACGCACAAAAGCATGTCTTCTATCCTTCAAATTTTAGAAAAGATAACATTATTTTTAGGGCACATGCTTTTGTGTATCGTAAATCACCGCGTGTCATTGTTTGCGCATCATTAAAGGTCTGTTTTCCAGTAGTGAATCCGAATGAAGGATGGTGAATCCATCACAGGCCACTTATAGAAAATGCAAAGGTATGTGGATCGTTTGCTGAAACTAAATGTCAACTTCCCTGAGGAGTTGGAAATTGACATCATTTTGCACTCCTTACCTTCTTGTTATGATCAATTTCAAATGACATATCACATGAACAAGGAGAAAGTTACACTCAGAAAACTTCATGTACTTTTGAAGACTGCCGAAAGTGATCTTAAAGGTAAATCGGTTGTTACCACTCTTACTCCTACCACTGCCCCTGTCTTGGCAATCGGGTAAGGTAAAGGAGAGAATAGGAAGAGCCCTTCGAATGATACCAAGGGAAAGTCTCTTGATGGATCCTCTTCAAGTAGAACCAAAGGTGGTTCTGTCACTCTTTCTACCAACCCTCAATAGGATGAATGATTATATTGCCATGAAAAGTTGCACTGGATGTGAAACTGCCCAAAGTACCTACAAGATGTTAAGGATGGGAAAGTGAAATGGTGAAAAATATTATTTCCTTTCATGGTTTGTACAAATAAGGCTTTACCTTTTCATTTGATAATGAATGTGGTGGTATTAATGGTTTATTTAATAATGCTCTTTATTTTAAAGCATTACCTTGTGATGGTGTATATGAAACTGTGTCTTGGAGTAATTTGACCTAAATTCGGATGATAGTTATGAATCTTGTTTCCTTGGGAAAATAACAAAGTCACCCTTCACTCGTACTTATGCTAGGGGTAAGGGTTTGTTGGATCTCATACATACTGATGTGTGTGGACCCTTCAGAACAGCCACAAGGGATGCTAATCGATTCTATATGACTTTTACTGATGACTATAGTAGATATGGATATGTCTACTTAATTAAGCATAAGTTAGAAACCTTTCAAAAATTCAAGGAGTTTAAACAGGAAGTGGAGAATCCATTGGGAAGGAACATTAAGATGCTTCGATCCGATCGAGGTGGTGAGTATCTTAGTATAGAGTTCCTTGACTATCTTAAGGAATGTGGGATTGTCTTAAAATTGACACTTCCCAGAACACTACAACTTTATGGTGTGCCTGAGTGGCGTAATCAAACCTTGTTGGATATGGTTTGTTCCATGATGAGTCGAGCTTCACCACCAATCTCATTTTGGGGGTATGCCTTAGAGACTGCCGCCCATATCCTTAATCTAGTCCCTACCAAGAAGGTTGGCAAAACAACTCACGATATGTGGACTAGAAAAGTTCCCAATCTAGACCATATCAAGAGTTTTGGGTTACAAGGCTTTTGTGAGGCACGAGACTCACGATACGCTCGAACCTCGAAGTGAGAGGTTTATTTTCATCGGCTACCCACATAAATCCTTTTGTTACCTCTTCTACAGAACCAATGATAATGTGATATTTGTAGCAAGGAGAGGAGTCTTGAGAGAGAGAGAGAGATGTAGAGAGAGAGAGAGAGAAAGAGAAAGAGAGAGAGAGAGAGAGAGAGAGAGAGAGAGAGAGAGATAGAGAGAGAGAGAGAGTGAGTTCATAAGATGAGGAAATCGTGGGAGGAAAATTGACCTTGAAGAAATTCAAGAGTCAAGTGGTGAAGGAACCTCAAACCCTAGCAATCAACCTGAGGAGGAAACTCCTGTTGATCCGACTGACGAGTCTGTACCTCTGAGGCGCTCAACGAGAGTTAGGAATGCACCCGAGCTTTAATATGGTTTCCATATTACTATGGAAGGTGATACACTTATCAGTGATAACACACTGGTAAGTCTGGATGAACCTAACAGCTACACGGAAGCCATGGCAGGACCTGAGTTTGCCAAATAGAAAGAGGCTATGGACAGTGAGATGCAGTCCATCTATGACAATCAAGTTTGGAACATGGTTGACAATGTGTCGGGTCGCAAGACAGTCGGGTGCAAATGGATCTTCAACAAAGAAGACTAACATGGATTGTAATGTACACACTTATAAAGCGCGACACGTTGCAAAGGGTTTTTCTCAAACTCCGGGAGTTTATTATGATGAGACCTTTTCACAAGTAGCAAAGATTAAGTCTACTAGGGTTATGTTAGCCATTGATGCATTTCATGATTATGAAATATGGAAAATTGATGTCAAAACTGCTTTCCTTACTGGAAGGTTGGATGAGGATGTTTACATGAATCAGCCAGAGGGTATTGTCAGTATAGACCCTAATAGAGTGTGTAAGCTTGAGAAATCCATCTATGGATTGAAACAAGCACCTCACAGATGGAAAATTTCTTTCGATAAGAAAGTCAAAAAGTATGGCTTTTCGAGGAGAAAAGATGAATCTTGTGTATATGTCAAGGTTAGTGGGAGTATAGTTAGCTTTTTGGTATTATATGTGGATGACATACTACTCATAGGAAATAATATCCCAACTCTGCAGGAAGTGAAGTCTTGGCTTGGGAAGTGTTTCGCTATGAAGGACCTTGGAGAAGTTGTGTATATCATAGGGATAAGTATTTTGAGAGGCATGAGTAAGAGACTAATTGGACTTAGTCATGGTACCTACTTGGATAAGGTGTTTAATAGGTTAAGCTTGCGGGACTCCAAGAAAGGAGAGTTACAAATCCAGAGTAACGCCAGAATAAGTAAGACTTAAAGCCTGAGTACAGAGGCTAAGATAGCTGAGATAAGTCGATTACTGTATGCTTCCACTGTAGGCTCGATCATGTATGCTATGACTTGTACTCGTCTTGATGTGGCCTTTGCTTTGAGCATGGTCAGCAGATATCAGGGGAACCTAAGCAAGGATCACTGGACTGCGGTAAAGAATATTCTCAAGTACCTACGGAGGACTAAGGAATGGGTCCTTACCCTCGGTGGGAGTGATGACTTGAGAGTAGTAGGATATAGCGATGCTAGCCTCCATAGTGATAGGGATAATTTCCGCTCTCATTCAGGCTAGATCTTTACCTTAAACGAAGGAGCAATTACTTGGAAATGTTCCAAGTAGGAGACAGTGGCTGATTCAACTTGTGAATCAGAGTATATAGCAGTAAGTGAGGCAGAAAAGGAGGCTATATAGCTAAAGAACTTCATTGGAAACCTTGGAGTTGTACCAGATATAAAGGAGCCTATAGATATTTTCTGTGATAGTGAAAGTGCAGTTGCCTTAGCCAAGGAACCAAGGGATCACTAAAGATCCAGATACATCAACAGAAGATACCATTTCATCATACAATGAATAGAAGAAGCACTACTCATGGCAAAGAGGGTATCATCGGATGAGAACTCAGCAGATCCCTTCACGAAGGGATTGAGTAGGGTTAAACATCTTCAGAATGCGAGGCGCATAGGGCTAAAGGATGATATTGTTTTAGAAATTAGATAGTTGTTGAAATTTGTAAAGTGTAATTAGCATGTGATGATAAATAAAATTTGTTGTTTATTTATGATTAAAGTGTTGGTATCTTTTGTTAATTGTTTACTATCATTTCATTTTGCATGTTTTGACTTCCAGAATATTTATGTTATGGTATATCATATTATTCAAATTCTCCACACTCGGTCATATGTTGGAAGTAGATATGACTCAGGATTGTCATGAAGTTTCCTTGTAGATGTCTAAGGTGTCGGGCATAGCAAGAGTTGCTACAACATTCATGAGTGCTCATAAGTTCTAAGTATTGGATTCAACCCAAACTCACTTGTATCACTTCATGGAATTTATCTCGAGTGACCGTGAAATGGTAATATCATATAAGTCTTTAAACCTAGAGACATGAGTTATTGACTTTGAGTTGGCTATACATACATTGTACGAAAACGCCTTGGTAGCTTGATGTTATACAACGTGCCTTTGAGTATAATTAAACAAGCAGTAGGCAAGCATATGATTTGAAGTTTATCGGTTTGTTCTTGGATTAGAAGTGTTATCTGGGCCCTCAATGATTTTGTTTTGACCTATGTATCGAGCCCGGTCAGAACTAAA